AAAGGAACATTAGGAGGCTAAAATTCCGGATAAACATAACACCATGATTTTAAAGAGCTGTACCTATTTTGAGAACTTAGAAAAAGTATAAGAGCTACAAGCTCTAAAGTGCCAGGCATTTTATATTCACTATGGTTAATCTTTACAATGACACTGAGCTTTGCAGAAGAATTAACTCCAGATTAGGGAAGTCAAGAAATTCACATTATTTTCCAATTTATACAACTGAAGAAATATTCAAAATATCACCTTATACTAAATCTTTAGATTCTGTGGAGAAAACAAATTTTACTGAGTTTAAATTATCACTATAAATAAGCATGACCATAAGAACCGATGGGTGTGTGAGTGTCAGTTTCTATTTTTCTTTGTTAAGGTTGTATGGATGGGTTTTATTTAATACTTTCCACAGTCCAATGCTGCTATACATTACAATAACAATTCAAGTCACTTTGGGGCATTAAGTTATTTCACATAAAGTTGACAAAACTATCTGGATGTTTGACCAAACATCTGGATGAATGATTAAATTTGTGACTAATCCACTGGAACATTTGTACACTATAAAATCACACAAAGAGCTATCATTGCCTTACTGTGCAAGACAGAAATGGGAAAAATCAACCTTTCCCTTGAAGACCTTTCTTTATCTGCCTAATAATCTAAATGTGTCTCACAGGGACATAAGCATAGTGTGTGGTACATTCCTATCTTCCCTAGCCGGGTGTTGTTTGTTTAGTTTCTGTGGCTGGATATTGACACAAAAACGAAGAGAACAACTTGGAAAGATTTTCATAAAAACAGTAGACTCATTCCACTCTTATTACAACATTATTATTATTTAGCCAGTTTTTAAATAAGTAGTTTTGCAATACAAAGAATAAAGAAATGATATAAAAACCTAGAACCCACTAGATGATAAACATTTAGAAAGAAAAATCAAAGCTAATTTAATGCATCAATATAAAATATATCTGCCTAAGAAAAGGTTCAATGATAAACTCATGAAATCAATGCATAACAGGAGATAACCCAACCATATCTGACTTACTGACATTCTCAATATATGTCAAAAAAACTCTCAAGGTAAGAATTAGCAATTATCTTGAACTTAGTGTTTTTCCACATATTGAACACCTCCTGACTACCTTGAAATCCCACTTTCACTCCCCATGCTCTATTCATGAACCACAAAGATCATTAATAACCAATTTCCTCAGACTTCATCCTCCATGTGTCCCTCACGCAGCATCTGACCACTGACTCCAACCTTTGCCCTCTCCTCTTTCCTTTTGCTTTAGATCACAAAACCATGTAACGATTGTTCTTTATCCATTTCTCCTCTCACTCTTTCTTCTTCAATGCCTTCTCTTTTTTTCTTCCATTTCTTCTCCTAGATATTCCTCAAGAATTCTTATACTAAATAAATGAAAGACCATCTAGGAAACAACAAACCCAAAATCTGACATATAATAAGCAATAGAAAAACTGAAGCTTCCTTTACCTGAGCCTTTGCCTTGTTTTCTCAGTGACATCATTGATGTTCATGAGTTTCACAATTGCTTCCACATAGACAAGACTTAAATTTCTTTATGATATTGGTGATTTATTTTGATCATTTTATAGACATCAGAACTACCTTTAATTCTTTGTCCTACTTATAAAAGTCACTCGATGCGAAAGCATCTACTTTCACAGCTTGCTTAACATTCATGGACTCTTTTCAATTCTTATTTTCACCCCACTTCCTCATGACAATGAGAATTCAAATTTATGGGTAATATATCATTCACTGAGCAACGTCTCAGTCGAAAGCAATCCTTCTACTACTGTATTGTCAGTAGAGTATTATGTTAATCTTCCTACAAATATGTGTGGAATATTTCATTGATTATGCCAATTCTTAAAAATACAAATCTGCTAAGTACAAACTTAATATCTCGCATAGAATTGATCACCCTATGTTTGTAGACTCAAAAAGCCTTGATGATTTACATCTTCAACCTGTGTTTTAACAAAGCTACATTATTAAGGGCTCTCTACTTCTGGCTTATTCTTTCTTACTTGGTCTTTTCCCCCATATGAGATCCTCACCATCCCTGTCATCAATGACTGACCTTGAATCATAATTCAAGAATCACTGTATATAACATTTTCTCCATTGATTGACTATTCAATTTTGTTCTTAATAGCAGGAAATGTATATAACACAGATTTATGTTGTTCACTACATCTAACACAATGCCTTGTACCTTTTAGGCATTGAATATATGTATAAGGATACATGTATGATTCTTGGGTGCTTTTTTGTCACATGTGCTCAAGAATGAAGCAGGGTTTTCCCTCTGCATCCCCCATAGTTTCCAGGAATATTCCAAACATATTTAGAAGAAGAGAAATGCTTTTATTTGGATGGTCAGTTTTGAATACAGTAGGTAGGTATATCTCACAGCTAGAAATGTAAAATGACAAACAGCTGTGGTCAGAATGAACCATGAATCTGAGTGATCAGAAATACCTTTTAGCAGTAGGAGCAACAACCACTGTAACCAGATTCAAGCCAAATATGATAGGTCTTATACTGAAAATGGATCATTATTTGTGATTCAAAACTTAAGCAAACACAAAACATCTAAAGAGAAAGAGGCACACTGCTATAATTTGGATCTGGAATGTTGCCCAAAGGTCATGTGTTGAAAACTTGGACCCCAATGTAATGGCATTCAGAATGGACTCTACAGAAAGGCAAATTGAATCCTGAGATCTAACCTCAACTGTGAATCAATGCACTGATGGGTTCATTATTTGACAGGATTATTGGGAGTTGGTAAAAACTGTATGCGGTAGGGACTAGTTGGAGGGTAGGTCATTGGAGTTGCTTCCCTAGAAGGGTATATGGTATTCCTCAGTCCTTTCTTCCCCTCACCATCTTCCTGATCTCCAAGAGATGAGCAGCTCTGTTTTGAGACCAGGCTCTCTGCCATGGTATTCTGCCTCACTTCAGGCCATAGCAATGGAGCCTGAAATTGAACCAAAATAAATATTTACTCATTTAGTTTTCTCAGGTATGTTGTCAAAGTGATGAAAGCCTACTAATGCGTGCATGCACACACACACACACACACACACACGCATACACAGGAGGAATGGTCCAAAGGGAGAAAAGGATACTTGGTATTGTTGATGGCTTCTTCAACAGTAGACATAGCTTGGGGACAGAGTGGATTCTCCACTTCAGCAGATGCTATAAGGGGTTTAAAGTTTTATATTAGTATTTTATGGAAAGATTGAATAATACAGGCCTGATTTTTCTCTCAGATTTGGAGATGAATAAGAAGGACAAAGAAGATTTCCTTTTCTAGCACAAGATACAACTGTAGTCACTAGTTTTTAATAGCAATCTGAGGAATTCTATCTACTTGCTCTTTTCTTGATGGCAAGAGACTTTATGAGGTTTTTGATATAAACCTTAGAATCACTTTAACCATTAATTTTCCTCAAATTCTTCCTTGTTTTAAATTTTATTTTTCCCACCTTGAGTAGTTGGTCCCTGAACAGACATATAGAAAGAACAGCTCAAGGAAAAGAGTGTCCTGAATATGTGCTTTGGGGAAGAGAATTATGGGAGCAAATCCAAACCCCTTCTGAAGGGTAATAAGAAAAATAATTGTAGACAAAACCAAAAGCAAATATGAACAAAGTGGCAGCAGGCTCTACTGGTTGACCACTTTCTCTGTGTTAGCCATAGGGTGAGAACTACACACTATGTTCTCATTTACGCTTCAACTCATGCCTGTGAGGGAAGTTTCATAAATGCATCATGTCGATTCAGCTCCAAAATTGCTTTGGTCCCAATTTGTATTGTCTATTACAGCCCACATGCTTCATCTCTTTGTTTTGTCCCCCAACTCTACAAAGCTGCCTTTTCATGAACTTGTTGGAATTTAAACACTTTGGAAAGCAGGGTCTTACCTTATCTCCTTCTGATCCTTAATTCTAGGTGTGGGATTCCAATTTAGGATTGTTACTGCATAGTAAAAATTTCTCAACTTTTTACTTCACTCTGTATGGTTTAAACCTGGATAATATTTTGCACTGATAAACAACAACAGATGAAGTGAACATCAAGTTATTGGCTCAAAAACAAAGTTTCTTAAGTGAAATTTAAGTGGAATTTTTGCCCACTTAAATAAACTTAAATCAGAACTTACAAGGACCATATAATATTAAAATGAACTCAAAAATTAAAGATTAAGAGCAAAAATTTATTTTTGGAAAGGGTAAAGATGGTTCTTTATAGACATTTCATCAATATTATCATTTGAATTCTGAGAATGATTAAGATGTTGTGGTGATTAATTTTATATGTTAACTTGTCTGGGCTATGATGCCCAGATATTTGGCCAAATATGATTCTGGGTGTGTCTGTGCTGGTGTCATGGGGTGAGATTTACTAGTGAATTGGGGACTTTTAGTTCAATAGATTGCACTCTGTAATGGAGCGAGACCTCACCTTGTCAAGGGAATGCAACTGGCCTGAATACAACAAAAAGTCCACCTCTCCCAGACAAGAGGGAACTCTTTAGTGAACTACTTTTGGATTTCATCTACAACATTGATTCTTCGTGGTTCCAGAGCACACTGCCTTTGGACTCAAACTAGAACACTTTCCTGTACCTCTAGCTCCTCCCAGTCAGCCCTTCCCAATCCTGGGAGCCAATAGCTGATAGGAAAGTCCAGGGAAGAAGCAGAGGCCCCTGGGAGGGAGGGGCGTGAGGGGTGACTGTGCCAGTCCCTGGTCAAAGACCAGGACAGGCCTCTGCTTTTACAGGCAGAACAAGACGGGTGGTGTTGGCGGAGCCCCGCGCTTCTCAGAATTCTGAGCTCTTTCTTGAGTCATAATTGACCCCAGCAACGCTTGAGGACGTTCTGGGGAGAGAAGTGGATGGTGCTGGATGCGGTTTTCAGAGCTGATCCGATGGCTCACTAAAGTGGCGGCGATGTAGTCCTGGTTTGGAGGCCTGGGCTCAGGCTTGGGCAACTTCTTGGGTCAGGTGGGGAGCAACTTGCCTTCCCTCACCGACCGTATATCCAGTTTCACCAGGGAAATGCTTCTGGATGGCATAGGAGACATAGAAGCAGGTTTACCTGATTGTCGGAGAAAGGAAATGGAAGCTACTGATGCTCCACTAAGATCGGAGAATGAAAGACTTCAAAAGTATTGTACTGATCTGGAGGAAAAACATGAAGCATCAGAGCTGCAAATAAAGCATCAGTGTCCAAGTTACAGAAATCAACTGCAACAGAAGGAGGTAGAGATCAGCCATCTGAAAGCAAGACAGATGGCACTGCAAGATCAAGTGTTCAACCTCCAGGCAGCTGCTCAATGGGTAGGTTCAGGAGCTTGTGGTGTACCAACAACCACTGCACTGGCTCCATTTGGTTCCCGGATCAGTAGTGATTTTTCAGCCTTTCCTGATGATGACATGGACTTTAATGACCTAATTTCATCCCACCAAGAAATAACCAGATTGTCAATTGAAGTTTCAAGACTTGAATCTGAAGTTGGCCATTCGAGGCATATTGCTGAGGCTCAGGGAACACGGAATTCTGACCCCAGTGAAATCTGCAAACTGCAGAATACTATCAAGACTCTTGAACGAAACCCAAGTCCAGACATAGATGATCATCAGCATGAAGTGTCAGTTTTGGAGCAGAGTGCTACTGTGGTAGAAAAGGGAACAAACCTTCCACAAAATTCTTCATCAGTGGAAGAAGTGTTGAGGCTACAACGAGCCCTGTCTGATGCTGAAAATGAAATAATGAGACTAAATGGTTTAAACCAGGATCAGAGTCTTGCTGAAGACAATCTGAAACTTAAAATGCATGTGGAAGCTTTAGAGAAAGAGAAGTCATCCTTGAGTCAAGAAAAGGAGGAACTTCAGATAACACTGTCAAAATTGAGCTGTGACTCTCAAGTAGTTAAAAACACAGCTTCAGCAGACATGAATGTGAATGTTCAATTACATGACTTAAAACTTCACTTGAAGGCAAAGGAGGAAGAACTGAATCAGAGTATCCATGAAAAGAAAATGCTGATAGCTGAGTTAGAAGAACTGGACCATCAGAATCAGGAAGCTACAAAGCACATGGTTTTGATAAAAGATGAGCTATCAAAACAAGAAAACGAAGGAGACCTTGTCATCCAGAAATTGAAACAAGATCTAGATGATGAAAAAAAAGAGAGTTCATCAACTTGAGGATGATAAAATGAACCTATCCAAAGAGTTGCATGTGCAAAAGGAGAAGTTAACTCAGAGTGCACAGGGCCTCAGTGATTTGCATTTAACCAAGCAGAAGCTTGAAGATAAAGTAGAAGATTTAGTAGATCAGCTAAATAAGTCACAACAAAGTAGCTTAAACATCCAGCAGGAAAACCTTGAGCTTAAGGAACACATTAGACAAACTGAAGGTGAGCTGTCTGGATGTCAGAGTAAGTTCCGAAGTTCTCTGAATGAAGACTCTAACAGTAATGTGAAGGATGACTTGCTTAAAGAACGGGAAGCTGAAGTTAGCAACTTAAGGCAAAATCTTTCAGAAGTAGAAGAGCTCAATGAAAATTTAAAGAAAGTTGCTGTTGATCTCAAAAGGGAGAATGAAATATTGATTTTAGCATGTAAAGATGTAAGACGTAAGTTGGAAGCATCTATTGCTGCTAACAATCAAGTGTCTCAAGAAAAAGACACTGTCAAGGAGACTCTAATAAGAGACAAAGAAGAGATAGAAACCAAACTGAACCAGGCAGAAAAAAAGACTGTTGGAAGAAGCAAAGAATCACAGGCAGACTATTCAGGAACTCTCCAATGCATGTCATTTGAATACCTCTGCCTTACAGCTGAAACCTGATTGTGTAGTTCAACTCAGTCAAGAGAAGGACTTTGAAATAGCAGGACTCAAAAAGAATATTGAGCCAATGACTACTGATCCAAAAGAAACTGAGGAAATTTTGGCACCTCATGTCGAAGAAAAGAAGCAATTGATACAACTTATAAAGGAGAAAGAAGTTTTTATTGAAAAACTGGAAGAAAAATGTTCAGAACTACAAAAGGATTTAGATGAGTGTTCTCAGGCCTTAAGAGAAAATGAAACTTTAAGGCAAACCATAGAAGAAAAGGACAGAAGTCTTGGCTCCATGACAGCAGAAAACAACCATCTGCAAGAAGAATTGGAGAGCCTTAAGGAACAGCAGAATCGAGCTGTCCCTGTAGCTGAGCCTAAAACCCTTGATGGTATCCCAGAACTAGAATCAGAGGTATCTCAACTGAAAATAGTCAAAAATCATCTGGAAGATGAAATTAAACACCATCAAAAGATAATTACAAATCAAAACAAGCATAAAATGCGACTCCTTCAGTCTTTACAGGAGCAGAAGAAGGAAATGGATGACCTTAAATACCAATATGAGCAGATGAATGCTGCGCATATCCAGTTAATTTTAGAAAAAGATGAGGAAATTAAGAACTTGCAGAAAACGATTGAACAAGTACAAGCCCAGTTGCCTGGAGAAAGACTCGATGCTCAAACAGAGAATTCTGATATTTTTCAAGAAACAAATGTAAAAAGCCTCAATAGAGAAAGTGGAAGTGAACAACGTTGCGGCCCCAGCAACATCTAGCTGATTGGCTCCTCGGCCCCAGCAACATCTAGCTGATTGGCTCCTCTGCGGTGATGCTCATTGGACTGTTTCCCTGCCCTTTCAGACCACGGAGCTGCTCATTGGGGGACTTTTTTGGCTCCGCCCACGTGACCCAGCCAATCGGCCTCAAGAGCAGGAGGATTGTGGGAGGTGGAGAGAAGCTTGTGTGGGAGAGAGAGGCTTGTGGAAAGCCGGTGGTGGCAGTTGAGGCTCTGAGGGTTTTTCCTGAGAGGCTGTTTTGTTTGGCGTGTGTGGTTCTAAAAATAAAGTTAGTTTCTTTTGACAAGTGGCTCCTGATTGTGCCCAGCCAGACTGCGGCACTATGGAACGAAAAGGAGTTGTTGAAGCAAACAGTAAGAGACCTAAAGGAGAGAATATTGATTTTCGAAGTGGACTTTTCTAAATTAAAAGGGGAAAATGAAAAATTGAGAGTAGCATCCAAAGAAAAGGAAAGGGAGTATCAAGCACTACAAGAGACAAACTCGAAGTTCTCTGTGAGGCTGGGAGAAAAAGAACTGGAGTGTGAGTCAATGAAGGAGAAAGTTCTTGCTTTTGAGCAACTTTTACAAGAAAAAGAAGAGGGAGAAGCTGAGGAATTAAGTCAGCTTTCAAATGCAGTTGCATCAATGCAGGAGAAGACAGTTATGTTTCAGCAAGAACGAGACCAAGTCATCGTAGCACTAAAACAAGAACAGATGGAAAACAGTACTCTCCAGCACGAGGTTCAACAGTTCCGTGACAAAGAACTACGCTTGAACCAGGAGCTAGAAAGGCTACGCAGCCATCTCTTGGAATCAGAAGAGTCTTACACCCAGGACATTTTGGCTGCAGAAGACCAAGAGATTAAACTGAGAAAGAAAGTCACGCTTTTGGAGGAAAAGCTAGTTTCATCTTCTAAGGCAAGTCATCAAGCCAGCGTGCAGATAGAGTCACTGCAAGAACAGTTGAGGATGGTCTCTCAACAGAGGGATGAGAATGCACAGCAGCTTTCGCTCTCCCAGGCACGAGTAAGGCAGTATGCCCTGTCATCAACTAACCTGCAAAGGGTTCTAGAGCATTTCCAAGAAGAAGAAAAAGCAATGTATTCTGCTGAATTAGCAAAAGAAAAACAGTCGATAGCAGAATGGAAGAACAAGGCAGAAAAACTAGAAGGACAAGTATCATCATTGCAGGAACGTTTGGATGAAGCAAATGCTATGTTGCATTCTGCTTCCAGACTTACAGAAGAGTTAGATCGGAAGGAACAACAGATCCAAGAACTTCAAAGGCAAAACGAGCTCGGAAAAGAAATGTTGGACAAGGCACAAAAGAAATTGTCGACTTTGGCAAACAGCCCAGAAGGAAAAGTGGACAAAGTCCTTATGAGAAACCTTTTTATTGGTCATTTCCATACACCAAAAGGTAAACGCCGAGAAGCCTTACAGTTAATGGGAAGCATCCTGGACATTCCAAAGGAGGAAATGGAGCAGTTGTTGAGTGAATATTCCGGTGGTGTTACTAAGTGGATGACTAGTTGGCTTGGAGGGGCATCGAAAAGTGTCCCCAACATACCTTGGAGACCAAATCAACAACCTGTGCTTAATAGTTCTTTTTCAGAACTCTTTGTCAAATTTCTGGAAATGGAATCTCATCCCTCTGCCCCACCACCCAAACTCTCTGCTCATGCCATGGACTGTCCAGACTCACCAGGAAGGAGAGAGCAAGGTGGAAATGTACCAGGAAGTATTAAAGATGCAGCCGAATTCAGAGCTGGTAGAAGCACCAACGGGAATCCATTCTTGGTTCCCCGTTCGGCAGCTGTGCCTGTTAGTAACCTAGCTGGAGTTGGTCTTGGTGGACCTGGGCATCCTCTTTTTAAACCCATTGCAGATTTCATGCCCACCTTTACACTATTGCCAGTGTCCCCGGACAGTAGTGCCACAGTAGTACTAGAGCACCTTCTAAAGCAAAGGCATTCTCAACCAGAGATGATTTAGCACTCTAAAGAAGACTTTAGAAACACTTTGTGTTTTTTTTACAGAGTGGCCTTTTGGAAAAGAACTCATGCATTTGTAGACAAAAAGAGAAAGAAAAACAGCTGGTATATATATAGGTATATAGCTACTAGATATTTTTGTTGTTGTTGTTGTGTTTTTTTGTTATAGCACTTTTTAAAAAATTTGTTTTGTTTGCTGTAGCACTTTTTGTTTATAAAATTTTGTTCCAATGTAGCAGCTAATCATCACCAGTCTTCAATTCTGATGTACTTTTGTGAGCAACTGTACAGAGCAGCATTAGTGAACCATTAGCTCCAACCTCTTTTTTAATGATTATATTTGATAAATTTAATGGCATTAAGATAAAAATGATACATTTAATTAACAAGGAAGAAGAAAGATCCAACACTTAAGAAAAGGATATATATCTCAGATTTAGAGTATATGAAAACCCAATGTAATATTGCAAAAAGTTGTGAATTTTTAGTTGATAAAAGAAAACCTTGTACAACTAGTAAAAGAAAATTAGAACTGGGAGAGCCTGAACATGAAGTTACTTGGATAAATTCTAAGATACTTTAAATCCAAATACTATGACCCTTATCCATGTTACTTATTTCCATTTCTATAGAAAAGTCACTTCACATTAATTCAGTTTTCTAGATGTTAAATATGTCCAGAAGGAAGAGTATTTTCATGAGTCAACCCCGAAGTGGAATCACATGATCCATTGCCAATGGAAAAGTTAGTAAGTATGTATCATTAAACATCTGGAGTGTTTATTTACATTCTTTTGGGGGCTCCACAATAATGCTTATAAAGACATTTTTTGAAACATTTGATCAAAAACAGTTGGGGAGAGAAAGAAGATAACATCAATTTTTGAAAGATGAAAGGCTTTAAAAAAGGAGTAGTTACAACCTTTTTGTAAATTAAGGTAAAAGATGAATCAAAAGTTTCTAGCTTAAGTAGGTGAAATCAGAGAAGAGAAAAAGCAGATTGCATAGCACATACTTCTCTGACACCTGTAGTTTCTAAAACCATGAAGAACACTTCTATTAAAATTCATTTAAATAAAATTTAATTAATTTTTAATATGAAATCATATTATAATTTAATATAAACCAATCTAATTTAAATTTATTTTATTAATTAATATTGTTTAAATTTATTAATAGTATTGTTTGTTTTAAATTTATTGATATTGTTTATTAACTTATATTAATTATAGTATGATTTTATTTAAAAATTTATTAAATTTTATTTCAATTAATACAATTTAATAAAGTCAATTTAAATAAGATTTAATATAGATTAAATTATTTAATATTAATTATATAATTTAATATAAATTTTAATAAAATGAATTTTAATAAAAATGATCTTAGTGGTTTTAGAAATTACAGATGTCAGAGAAGTATTAACTTCTTTTTTCTCCTCTCTGATTTTACCTAACTTAAGCTAGAAACTTTTGATTTATCTTTCATCTTAATTTACCAAAATAAACAAGGGATGACAAAATACCCAGTAGTTATTATCCATCAGCTTTTCCTTTCTTTTTTCTTTATTTCACCTTAACATTTACATTATTTTACCAAAATCAAGATGCCATCAGTTGTTAGGCAGGAACAAAATCACTGAGACAACAACTGTAAGAGGCATCCCAATCTCAGATTGGCTAAGTATTAAAAACGTAGAAATGTCTGAGAACGGATGAGCTCTGATAGTAGAGTTTCCGACCTATGGAAAGTTTCCAAATGCTATGGAAAATGATGATGCTTCTCTTTTTGTGTTTTTAAGTTGAGAGCCTTGTAAGTACTATGGTTCTTTATCAGAAATTATATGTGCTTTAAATTATAAGTCTTTAGATTTCTTATTTTTCCTGGATTATAGAAAAAGGGACTCACAATTCCTTGAGATCTATTAGCATTTTAGTGACAGGAAATAATTCAATGATGCATAGTTGTTTATTTGCATTCAATGACTATCAACTTTTATCTACTTTGGGAAGGGTCAAAAACCACAGACCTTCTGCCTTCTGCTTTATTTTAAAGCTTCCAGCATCAGTTGCAAGAATTCTAAGAAACTCTGGGAATACTCTATGGTGCAAAATGCACACTTACTTTTTTTTTTTTTTGAAAGCATCCCTAAGTCATGAGTCCTTAGGTGAATTTCTTGTTCTAAGTAAATTGACTGAATCATTATTAAGTAATAACTTATTATGCCAAAATGAATAATGAAAGCACATGCTTCCAATCAGAGCAAGGAAGAAACAAGAAGGTGTGATGTGTGGTAAAAATGCATGAACATGCAAATATGATCCAGCCTTATTAAGTCCAAATTTCTTTGTTTTTTTTTTAAATTTATTTTTTTGAGGTTTCATTCTTGCCTGATATGCATGGAATAACTTTGGGGGGGATATAATCAGAAATTCAGCACTAAAATCTGCCTTCCTGCAACATCATGTGGCTTTACTCCTAAGAAGAATGGTGCAATATCAAAGTCTATATTTTGCTTCAAGTTGCCAAATTGCTTGGAATCTTCTTCCAATAGGCCTCATATGGTTTGGGAAAAGCAGAATTCAGATTTGTCATGAGAGATTTTTATATGTTCTGCTCACCCCATTGTGTCTAGGTGAGCCTTTGGGTTTCAATGCTGGGAAAAACACTTCTTTTATTTCAGAATTGAAGAGCTCTTGGAAACAGCGACCTTACTGCAAACTTGAGAAAAATATGTTATACAGGTATTCAGAAAATTGCAAAGATTAATATAGATTCAAGATTTTTTTAAGACAAGGGGCTTAATGGAGAAAACACCAAGATAGCCTTAGAAGATTTCATACTCCCTGCATTCTTATAAAAAGCTTGTATATTGTAAACAAGATAAAACCAAACAGAACAGTTCCTAAGGAAATATTCTGCTTTCAGTTTCCTTGTCTCATTAATTTATTAAAGTTTTATTAAAGACTCTGAATTTGCTAGCCTTTTTATTAAATATTTGATATATGCTATTAATGTCTATCACTGGATTTTATTTGGTCTCACATTAAAATCTGTATACTCTTTATAAGCACATATGAAATATTATTTGAGATAATTTATCGCAAACCTTTAGGAATTTATGGACATGGAGAGTATCGAATGATATCAAAAGTGGAGTTTTCTTTCATGTCTATCATAGTCCTTTTTTCCTCAGTTGCTGGGGAGGAACATTAGGATGATTTGCTTAGAGTAAGGAATACTAGACTGAACAGAAGGGGCTGGAGCAGCTTTGCTAGTTAGCTTTTCCATTTGAAAAACTTTTATTGAGGACAGGCAAAATATACCTAGTCCCAAATCCATTGAACTGATCAAACTCTGCAGCAGTTAACCAGAGTAGCTTCCTCTTCTGTGCCCCCAAGTTTTGAGCAATGCTCTGTAGGTGATACCTTGAATGATCCTTGGCTTTGAAGAACTGTCATCCAATAAACAATTTATTTCCTTTTTTCTTGTCCTTCTCAGGGATCCTACTAAGTGATTTCAGAGGCGAGGAGAGGAGAGGTAAGGGAAGGTACTGGGCAATCTAATTGACCCAAATTAGGTTATGTGAATGTACCAATGTGTAACAACGAAGGCCACTATTATGTGCAATTATAATGCACCAAAAAATGATCTTATAAAAAGAAGAAGAATATGATTTCCATAACTTCAAAATAATCTGAAGCCTCAGGAAAAGCATTTTTAAAATAGTTTGAGCTTACCTATAAGACTTTTTATCTGTTCATCAAGGCTTTGTTTTATGAGTACATGTATTTCTTTAAAAAAACATTGTAAACCCAGCAGGGTGTGGTGACACATGCCTTTAATTGCAGCGGTGTGAGGCCATCCTCATCAATTTAGAGAGACCCTTCACAAAATAAAATCAATAGAACTGGGGATGTGGCTCAGTGGTTAAGCATCTCTGGGTTTAATTCCCATACCAAAACAAACAACCAAAAAATCATGTAACAATCTTTTTTTTTTTTTAACCTAAGCAATTGAGAATGATCAGGAAGTCATTACTTCAAGTCACCAGTGGCACAAATTCGTAGTGACTTTGAACTTGAGTTTTAAATACCAATGAATCATGCCCCAAATGACTGTCCTAACAAAGAATGTGTGGACTTTCATCTGTGTATGTGCATAGATTTATGTATCTTCAGGTCTATAAAGAATTCCAGTAACCTCATGAGTCAGTTTTTTTCGGCTAAAAAAACACTTCTAACTCCATTTTCAACCTGTGATGGTTTACTAGAGATGCTGAGACTATGTAATCTTCTTTATTCAGTTTGTTAACTACTTTGAAAAAAAAAACCAACAACTCTGAAGGGAGTTAAATTAGGGAAGTGGTTGGAAATAGTGCTGTATCCTTCCTATCCTGGTAGAGCAAGAGAAAGAGGTCCAATTGTTGCTTTTAAAGACCTAAGTTGGATTCAGGCATAGGAATCCCTTTGATTTACTTCACTGGCAGCCATGCTGAGAGTTTCCAAGTCATTCATATGTATACAGAACAACATCAGATCAAGATGAATAAGCAAATGAGGGTATGGAATCCTGGAGTGCCCATCCACCAGAGGGTGTGTGTGGGAGGGACACACATTGAAACTGAGGGAGGGCTTCATTGAATTCTTGGGTCCATCTGTGTTGACAAACCTTGTGGGCTTCAGGAAAGGACAATGATAGAGTTGACAACTGAAAAACTAGTCAGGTGACTTTAATTAATGGGACTCAAGAACCAACTTGTAAGCTTTATGGCACTTTCACAGTCACTAGTCAAATGTGGACTCATTCTATCTCACTTTTGGAGCCCTGGGGAACTCGCCAGACAACAATATTTGAACATATATACACCACTGACATTTTAAGATATTCTAGAAAATGCCAAAGCAACAGGACTTCAATATTTCTATTTCACAGTGCCAATCTCCACTGTTAGCTAGTTATATAAAGACGTGAGCTAATAGTCTTTGATGGTAATGAGTG